GTCTGCAGCTGTGCAAGTTTATTTCGCAGTATAGAAACTTCTCTACTGAGACTTGTTCTAAAAATATTGCAAAACAAAGAGGAAAATATCTACTACACATTCGCAGATGGCATTGTACAAGAACTTTAAAAATAGCTGCAAACAACTAAACGGAGACCTAGAAATTAAGAAAAAAATACCCACACTTGTGCATACACATACAAAAAGTTCTTAAAGAAACCTCCAATTTACCACAAAACAGTCTACTTAAAATATGTACATTTGGAAATGCATTCGCCTGAAACTTAAAGCAATGCATGCATTTGACACATTGCTGACAGAATTTCTTCTGTATTGCAAGCTTTGATTTTTCCAAGTGGCCATAATGAACAATATACTTGCATACGAATAGGCAATACTACACGCATTTGTAGTGACAATCGTAATAATCTAAAACAGTGTTTTTCAAACCTGGCAACTTTAAGTTTTGTGGACCTCAACTCCCAGAATTCCCAAGTCCTCCTGACTAAGGAATTCTGGGAGTTCAAGTCCACACATCTTCAAGCTGCTAAGTTTCATCTAAATTGTTTTTCTCCGCTGAAGAACACAGATTGCACATGTTGCTTTTAGCATATTCTGCTTTATATCTTATACTTTGCATAGCAAAGGGTACCGTGCAAGGTAAGAAAATAATCGTACTTTTGTGAAAGAAACACATAAACCAAAGATGAGTAATTACATCTTTCAATGCAAGTTAGGCAAATTGCAATTCCAGGGGAAATATCTGAAGCCTGTTGTTTCTAACAAAACCTTTCTCTCGTTACTAATCAGAAAATCTGGATTTCATTATGTAAATTTATATATATATATATATAAATATATAAGAATGGAGATACTTCACACACACACATGCACACACACAGACAGATATATATTCAAGAATGGAGGCACTAAATTACAAACAGCTGAAAGAAAATATTATGAAACCAGTCATTTTATACTTTTCAACATACAATTTACTCTCTGAGAGAGTTAACTTGTCTTTGAGCAACTGTATCTCTGAATCCTTTTCATGGGTTATCAAGTGATTCTGAAAATCGTTGTCTCTGCTGGTAGCCAAGAGCGTTTCCAAGTTTTGTATTGTAAGCCGCTCACTTGACAATTGCTTTTTTAACAGCTCTCCTTCTGCCTTTGCATCTTCAAATTCAGACACAATCTAGAACATAAAAAAGAGTTTCTTTAGTAAATAACCTCACAGTAACTAAGTAAGCCCATAGTTCCTGTCCACCTCGCCATTAAACCCTTCTTTATTCCACATCCTTCCCCTCTCTCCCAGGGTGGCTTTTCAAGCCACAGTGACTGCAAGATGAATTTTTAATCTTAGAATATATATCTATTTTACTGTCAACATTTTACCTTAAATAAAAAAAATGATTTATATCCTGTAAGAATAACATTTTTCTCTTTTACCCTCTCAAACTCCAGAGATTTGGATGTTAATTGACGTGAGACCAGATCTTTGCTAGATTCCAGTTTGACACATAGATCTCTAACGGCAGACACATCGTGATTTATTGAAGATTTTTCTTCTTTTTCACGTCTGAGAATTTCTTCCAGCTTGGACATATTTTTTGCCATTGAAGAGATTTGAGATTCGTAAGTTTGATGTGCAATGATGTGCTGCATGAAAGACAAAAGTAACTCTTTTTAGAAGCCTGGTTGAGGTGCTCCTATTACATTTTCCTATTTGCACTCAGTTATTGGGAAACAAACAAAACAATATATCAACTTGGAAGTATTTTTCCGTTTCAAAATACACTTACACCCATTTGCAAGACTTAACAAGTACTGGGCAAGAGCAGGCATAAATCTAAAATTAGTTATCCCCCTGAGAACATACAGATGATTAATGCCATCTGCTCCTTGTACAAAGTTTCAATTAATGTCCAGGTATTTGATTAAGAAAAGCACATTAAAATGGTCTAGGAAGCTATAATTTTATAATTACCTCTTGAATTTCTTTTTCCAGTAATTCTACTCTTTCTCTCAGATGTCTTCGTTCAGTGTCAATTGAAAGGAGCTCTAATCGTACTGAGCTGTTTTGTCCCTCAGCTTGATGGGCCTTCACTTCCCAATCTTCGGCTTGGCTATGAAGCATCTGGAACTTCTCCAATAATTCTTTATTTTCTCTTTCCTAATATTAAGAGAAAATAATACGTCCACTGAGCAATACGTCACTGAAACAAATGTCTCAGCTACTATTTGCCCTCTCTTCAGTTTAGAAATTGTCAGCAACTTGTTCCACTGAAGCAACCTGAATATGTGTTATTTTCCATATGAGCCAACCCAGTACTTCAAGATTAAATTATCATACTGTTACAGTTAAGACTTTAAAAGATTTGAGGCAAATGTTACAGTAATTGATCATCTATCTTATCTTTCTTATCTATATAAATAAAAATGTAAATGTTCGTTTGTTCAAAATCTTAAATCTTCGAAAGTTCTTCACCAATTGCTTTGAAATTTTGATACAACGTTGCATTCGAATACGCACGTGTTTTTGTATACCTACTATTATATAGATGTCACACCTGTGACAGGTAAAAACATGCTTTTTTGAAAAACAGCGCCATCTGTTGGACGTAAAAGCAACACACGCTACGATTTTACCATTCCATTTCAATGTTTCCGATTTACGATCCATTTACGATTTCCAAATTTCCAATTTTACGATTCCATTTCAATGTTTCCGATTGCATTGTTGAATTGAATTTTCATAGATTTCGATTTATTTTCATTTTGATTTAATTATTTCGTGTGACATTGCATTGGAATTGATGCACAGACAATGGAACAACAAAAAATATTGTATACCCACAAGCATTGTGAAATTGAACATATTAGAAACGTGCGCTTTCTCTTTTCTTTCTTTTCCATTTAACCAGACTGAGCCACAGCAACGCGTGGCCGGGTACAGCTAGTTACACATAAGAATGCAATACCTTAATTTGCCACACTGATTTTACAATAAATAATTTGGATTTTTTGTTGTCTAGCTCAGGGGTAGGCAACCTTGGCTCTTTTATGACTCGTGGACTTCAACTCCCAGAATTCCTGAGCCAGCATGGCTCAGCTTGGAAACCTCTCCCTTTCCCCTCAGCACGGCTGGCTCAGGAATTCTGGGAGTTGAAGTCCACGACTCATAAAAGAGCCAACGTTGCCTACCCCTGGTCCAGCTAGATGTATGTATAAAAAAGCAGCCTGGCAACCAAATGTGAGTTAGTCCGCTCTATTTGTCCCCCTGTGGTTGTGAAAGCTGGACCTTGAAAAAGCAAGAGAGGAAGAAAATTGACTCGTCTAAGCTGTGGTACTGGAGAAGGCTCCTGCATATTCCTTGGACAGCAAAGGTGACTAACAAGCAAGTATTGGAGTACATAATACCAGACATGTCACTGGGAGGCAAAATCACAAAACAGTGTTTCACTTATTTTGGCCCTGTCATTGGGGGAATTTACTGGGAAAGCAATTAAGTTTGAAAGAGTTAGCGGTAAAAGGAAACCAGGCCACCAAAGAACATGGTGGCTGGACACCATCAAAGCTGACACCAGCCAGAGCACAGAACCAATCAAAGAAGTAATGCAAGATCGGAAGCTGTGGAGAAACCTGGCCATAGAATCACCAAGAGTCGGACACAACTGAATGGATAACACCATCATCATCTGTATGTATTTACACTATTTACATACTGGAGTTTTTAAATACAACAAACCTAGACATTTATATATGCCTAGATATATCTACTTATATGTGTGTATTAATGGCTCGATCACAATTGTGCCTCTGTGACAAAGTCCCAACTTGTTTTAAATCTGATGATAATTCTTAATAATACCCTTCCTAATTTTCATAGAAATGGCTGAAGCTTGTGGCATGTGGCTTAAATATTATAAGGCTAAGAAAGGACATTCGCTCAATGTTCGTCTTTTCTCTTAAAAGAATAGATTGAAGAATTTTTTCCTTGCGTACTAACTTCAGCTTATTTATAAAATTTAAATAAGATACATTTTATTTTTGATTTTTATACAATAGTTGAAGGCTAGAAACTGGGAGGCCACGAATTCTAGTCCTGCCTTGGACACGAAACCGTGGGTGACTTTGGGTCAGTCACTCTAGATCACGTGAAGTATTAATACCACTTTACAAGGCCTTGGTAAGGCCACACTTGGAATACTGCATCCAGTTTTGGTCACCGTGATGTAAAAAAGATGTTGAGACTCTAGAAAGAGTACAGAGAAGAGCAACAAAGATGATTAGGGGACTGGAGGCCAAAGCATATAAGGAACGGCTGCTGGAATTGGGTATGTCTAGTTTAACGAAGAGAAGGACGAGGGGGGACATGATAGCAGTGTTCCAATATCTCAGGGGCTGCCACAAAGAAGAGGGAGTCAAGCTATTCTCCAAAGCGCCTGAGGGCAGGACAAGAAGCAACGGGTGGAAACTAACCAAGGAGAGAAGCAACCTAGAACTAAGGAGAAACTTCCTGACAGTTAGAACAATTAACCAGTGGAACAACCTGCCTCCAGAAGCGGTGAATGCTCCAACACTGGAAGTTTTTAAGAAGAAACTGGACAGCCATTTGTCCGAAATGGTATAGGGTTACCTGCCTGAGCAGGGGATTGGACTTGATGACCTCCAAGGTCCCTTCCAACTTTATTATTATTATTATTATTATTATTATTATTATTATTATTACTCTCTCTCGGTCATAGGAAGAAAGCAACGGTAAACCACTTCCAAATATGTCACCAAGGAAACTGTATGGACTTTTCCATGTGGTGGCTGGGAGTCGTGTAGTGGCCAATAGTGACTTGAAAGCCCCAAACCAAAATTGATTTATTAAAAAGATAATATTTTAATAATATTTCTCACCTTTAAGGACATTAAACTTTCAAATCTGGACACTTCAGTAATGTAATTATGAACTCTAACTTTCAGTTCTTCTTTTTCACGTAACGTTACTTCCAATTCAGTCGAGATTACCTGTTTATATTACATACTGTTAGACATATTATTCACAAAGTAAATAAAGCACACGCTGGTTAAGCAGTACACTTAAATATGATCTATTCCATATCAAAATTGAACCAACAGAGAGGCAGCTTGTAACAGCATTTCTCTTGGTTATTAGTTTCTCATATTCAAATTAAAAGAACAAAAAAAAAAATCAGCATTCAGTCTTGTGACTTCCAACCTATGGGTAAGTAATTTTCCTTATGGAAAATTTGGGACAATGCCTATTTTGGCATTGCCAATGCTCATATTGGTATTAACACTTGAACTTTAAAAAAGTTAACTGATACCTAATTAAACATTTCAAGTGATATCATTATTCAATGTTTATACTAGTCAACATTAAACTAGAACAGTTACCACACTAGAAAAAAGCACATAAATTGAATATACATTCAAGCAGGCCGTTTCAGAACTTTTTCTGGAAAAATTGTGAAATATGTAGACATGAGGGATTTATCTTTATCAGTAAATACAGAGAAGAACAACTATGAGTCTCTGATGTTTTAACCATGATAGGAGAAAATATTGTCATTCAGAATTAACAGTTGAAAGCATTGGAAAAAAATAACTGGAAAGGAGAATTTCTTGTCAGTAAACCCAGTCTAGCTATCACAGTTAGCTAAACTAGAAATACATGTTCAAGTTGGAATGCTAAAAAAAGAATGGTTGGAAGTGAAAGGCTAGGAAGGAACAAGAATTCAATACAGCAGGGGTCCCCAACCTTGGCCACTTTATGACTTGTGGACTCCAACTCCCAGAATTCCTCAACCAGCCATGTGTACTATATGAATTACTTTATACCTGGTTTTCTCTAGTCATTGTGGCTAGATCATCCTGTAATCTTCTGTTTTCCTTCAAAGCCATTTCTTTTATTCTGCCAGTTTCTCCAAGCTCTGAATGTATTGCATCAAACTGGCGGTGGAGACTGGCAAGTTCACGGTCTTTTCCATTTAAGGCATCCTTTAATTGGCTAATAAATGAGGGATTTAGAAAACTCTTAAACATAATTTATCTTTTTTGCAATACTGTATGTACACTATGGTCACAATTTAAAAAGTATAGCAATTAATTAAAACATACCTTTGTACTGAATAGTTCCAAAGATATTTTACATGTTACCAAGTACAGAGCTATTTTTGGAAGTGAACATGTATCCGTCATGTTTCTGTAGAAAAACTAAACTACCAAGCATTTGGGAAATTATACCTGAATTTCTTGCACTATGGCACAAATGGCAGCATTGGTAGAAGAAAAATATGATGCTAAGCTTTAATTAGCTTTAATCTAGTTTGTAGAATAAGTTAAATCTGGTTCATAGCCAAGAAAACCATAGCGTAGTTCCCTATTAAAATTAGCTATTGTTGCTTCTAGCTACCCTACCCTAGAGATTGTGAAGCACTTTCTAAAGTGCAGAGTGGCAATGTATATTCCCTGCAGCCAAACAGTAGTATAAGGGGCAAGTAGCAAGAGAGATTTTGAGATTTTTTTGACAAGAGGGAAATTAACACTCTCAAATATGCCTCCCATGCCTTGCATTCTTTTTAAAACTTTTAATCATCATTTGAAAAAGTCCTTTCTGCTATATATGTTCTTTCAGTAAAGACCTAGAACAAGATGGATTGACGACCTCAGCCAAGTATGGCTTGCCCAATTGGCAAAAGAAAGCTCGGGATCGTATTGGTTGGAAACATGCGGAAGAGGCGTTCATCCTGCAGTGGATAAAATGATGATGGTGGTGATGATGATGATGAGGGGAAGAACAAAGAGCACTGTGCCCCAGCCTTCTGTTTATTTTTATATACAATAAGCTCAGAAATTAGATACTAAAAAAGAAGTTATTACCAATTTAGCAGAATTAGAAAACAAGTTCAGAAGACCTAGAAAACAACTTTACAGTGAAATGTTATATCTTCAGTGAGATTAAAGTGAATGGTTATAAAAGTGGTTTGAATAAAGAAAGCATAGTTATTTTAGAAGGTAACCAGCCATTTAAACAAAAGCTATAATATACAGTAAAGTATTCTGCATATCCATCATCTTATGCTAAATAAGCATTTCATTTAATAGCTTCCCTGATATATAACACAATTATCTAAAATAAAATTAGCTAAACTACAAAATTCCAGTTTTTTTCTTTCTTCTATTTTACCTCATGAAGTATGCAGTGGCTCAGTTAGTTTTAGAATCTCATTAAAATTACCCCTGACCATTTTAAAATGAGTTTCAGAATAACCAAGTTATAATTTTATTACTTACTCTAAAGACAATTCCAACTGAGCAACTGTTTTTTGTAAGTTGAGGAGAGTCTTTTCCTGTTCAAAGAGAGAGAGTTATGCATGTTATGTATTTTCTTTTCCTGTAATTTTAAATCTAACATAGGGTTAGATTTAATTTGACAAACTATCCTTTCTCTATCCTAACCAAATATTTCTTTCAAAACTCCTGCAACAAGCACACAACACTAATATGCATGACATTATATAGACATATCAATACAACTTT